TCAAGTGATAAACATTTTACATAGTTTAAACTAATAGACACTTTATAGGCTGGAGTATATAAATTTATAATACTCACAATCCAATGGTTATTAATTTAACCTAGGGTTTCCTAACGTATAATTGTTTTCAGTCTTATTTTTGTTATTGTTTATCTTATTTAAAAAGAGAATTGACGAATGTTTGGGTGCGCGCGTGCGTGCATGGGTGCGCGCTTGTGTGTATTCGATTAAAGAAAACTTACATAATACCGAATAGAGAAAGGGAGAGGAAATTTATGAAGCCATTCTAAAATACAAAGAGGCGGGAGGAACAAGAAGTCAAAAATAGCCTGGCATTAGGAAGTGCACAAAAGGGGAAAGAGTCGAAGAAATGACAGGACAGCGTTCATGTACATTCCAAGCTGGTTTGTGAGAGGTTTCCCTGAGGTTTCCTGGCCTATATTATCAAGTAATGTGTGACATCCATCATTGTGGCTCTGGGATCAAAGTTTTAAAGAATCGATGAGAGACATGTAATGATTTAACGCTCCAAAGCCGACACTAATCAATTGTATACTTACCGACGCTACGCGCCATGAATTGACAGGTAGATGCCCAACATTGCGTGGCCTATTCATGATTACTGTATGAGGTCTTGTATCGGCTGTCAGTTTTGGCAGTTCCATTTCAGAGATGTTTGACTGGTGTTGGTACTTTTTATTGGTGCTGTGCCAAGTACTTTGGGCTACAGATTCTAGAAATAATTTTCAAGCTCGAATTTTCAGTCAAACTGTAACAATGGCACACAGTCGGACAGACGAGTAAAGTCATTATAGCTTACGAGTAATGTTTTAACCTTTATCATTGCTTTAAAGTCTTGCTATTCAGAGGCCTGCTAAACTCCTTTAAATCCCAAACTTCCCGTGGCACTGGGGATCTATATACAATGACACAGAGTCTATGGTTTGTGTTCAGTACACTTGTAGTATTTCTCAACCCAATATGCCTATAAACTTTTTTCCCTTAGGGACATGGAGCTGATATTTCGCCAAAGTGAAATTAATTTAAACTGCAGAATGCATCCAAATTACAACTGGTTCGTTTATTCTACTTTTAATAAGTGTATTATATAAAAAGAGCCATCTTATTCACCATCACTTCGAAATGTTCAAAAAGCTCTTTTGATTTTCTAATGTTGAACTGTTTCTGTTATAGATATTTTAAGAAAATAATGGCATGTTGCATATTTGGGCAACTGCGCCGATCGCCATAAAGATCAAACCTGCGGTTGGCTTTATACACAAAGGACCGTTGCTGGAGTCGGGATTCTAAAGCACTGGTAACTTTTTCCTCGAGAGAGGGCCACTCTGAGTTTGTCACTTAATTGAGTTTCTGCCAATTTGTCGACAATTTATGTCTCATACTTTCTCATTCGTGACGGGAGTAATAAAGCCATAGGCTGCCTCTGACCACATGATGACCCATTCGAGCTTATTCAGTAGCCTTCTGTTTTTACTGAGGCCATTGAAAATGCTTCTGTGGACAAACACATTTTGAGAGAATAAAACCTGATATCTTTTGCTCCGAATTTTTTTCTCAGGGGGGACGAATGCAGACAACACATACAATTTGAATTACATTCCGTTTTTTATTGATCTTATTAATCTGTTTGTTCACGATCCGGAGTAGTTCAAGCATTACATATTTCTACAGGTCAAAAGGCCGTGGGGGTGGGCAGGTGTCTTTGGACATATTTGTAGTGAAGTTTTGAATAGTTGATAAGATTTACGTATCAAACATGAACCAACAAAGTGTTTATAAAGCCTAAAGCTATGGGTACAAATTATTAGAGAATTCTAAATAATGTATGAGAAAGGAACGGGTCTCTTTTAAAGCCAAATATCAGAACCATTGTGTACCATGCTTGGGTCTAGATTTTAATGGTTTTATGACAAAATGTCAGTAGAAAGTAATGGATCTTTATTGTCATTGTTATTGCTTTTCACATTATCAATATCCAGAACTAAATAGACGGATAGCGTGACGAAGTTGCATTGATATCAAACGGGAAATCTGACAGGTATAATTGTGAAGGCAAATCCATAGTGTTTTCGTAAGTAATTTGATCCCGAGAGCTTGTCCCTTAGAAAGTCTCTAGTTCTCGATCAGTGGGGGTTCTCATATTCATCCAAAAATCATGGTGTTTCATTAATGATATGTAGTCTATAATCACTATACAGCTATTATTAGTATTTTCATGAATTTTTCAAAACCTTATTGTTGACATTGTTTCATATTTCCTTTTGAACATCGCACAAAACTCATACACTCCTAGTTCATTGTCAGGGCTTTCATTTCGGTTAAAATTAAAAATGTTGGTTTTTCTTATTTTTCCTTTTATTTTGGCGATTAGTTGGAAACGCACTATACATGAGAAAGCCATGTACAAAATCAGCTAACATTTATGGGAGTTGTTGTATGATATGACAGAATTTCATTGTAGTTAAAATATCTGTCTTTCAATGTTGCACGCTCTCTGGAGTATTTGCTACCACAAAAGATGCGCAACCAACGTAACCTTCGAGTTTATTGGTGAAGAAATAAGGGGTGCCTTGGAGATTTTAATCTCGTTTCCCGTTTTAGTTGCAGCTGCTACTTGTCTTTTTTCATTTGAATCTCAGCTAATTAGGCATATATTTGGCAAGATAATCTCGCCATTGTTAACGGATGCCAAATATGTGGCATTGGCTGATTCACGCCACCCACTCAGTACATTTTCCTGTCCCTATGCCATACAAAATATGGTCCGCGTAACCATTTTATATCGGTCGATATTTTTGCAACCTTCCTTCAACCTTCCCCACTTCCCCCCCCTCCCACCGAAAATCTTTGATCTCCAAGCATGTTTACGTGTGCAAAAACAATAAATGCGTTTTAATCAATATAGTATTATATTATGATATATTGTAATACTAGTACAAAATATGAGAAACAAACTAATTTCAGTTTATCATGTTTAGTTTCGATTTTTTCACAAATGCAGAGTTGTGATGTGAATTTTTTTGGACATGTGACGAATACTGAGGTCCACGTACTATTCTATGATAACTGTTGCAGAAATGGTATTAGTAAATTAACCATACATGTTTCACGGGTACAATTAACACAATAAACTGTTTGTCGTCTTTTTCTCTTTCTAGCATTCAGTATGAGAATTTGCCAAACATTCCACTCATCTTTTCATATCCGTTTAAATAAGACCATTCAACTACAAGAATATAATAATTCAAATAAAGAAATTCTTTGAATGTTAAATTTCTCAAAGCCTTCACATCAGACAGTGTTCGATGACAAACGTGATTTTCAGAAGAACAATAATTTAAGAATTGTCTGTATCGTTGTTCAGTGATATAACCACGTTGGAACAATATAATTCCATCCAGACTTATTGAGTTTCTTTCAGAAGACCTACATGTTCTTCTCGTGTTGCAGACAGAGTTGAGATTATCACTGAGAAAACAAAGCAGCTGGGTGCTCTCCCATGAGCCTCTTTCTCATTGAAGATCTTTAGCACCAAGTTATATGTAGACAGAATTAAGGACGAGGCCCTGCGAAGAGATAGTACAGCCCTCTAGTGGCATAGAAGAGATTAAAAAAAACATACATTAACTGTGTGAACTTAAACATGAAAAACGTAGCTACTGTTTCATCACAATTCATAACCATGTACATGTATTATCGTAACGTGTATTTGGATACTCATTGCAGTATCATGAAGTGAATTCTTTAAGCTGTGTTCACATACCTCCCTGGCTCGAAAGTAAAACTTTTCCCAATTCCCATCCCCACCCATTGCAGTGAAATATGAATAAAAGAGTAAAAAACGGAAAAGAGAAATTCACCAATATGGCAAACGTTTTAAAGTAGTTAAACACTTAGTATCCCTTACAACTGTGATTTTAGAGTACACTCATTGAACAGTTGAGGTCGAACTGCCAAAAATAACCACGCAGTCTGTAACATCCCGATTAACATCCGGGTTAACATCCTGGTTAACAATCCATCATCCGTCTAATTGAATTTTTCAGCTGCAAAAAAAGTCGGTAGATTGCTACAATGGTCAGAGTATGGTGTCTATGAATTTAGGTACAAAACGGAATACCGCATGGAAACCCGTTGAAATAATATTTATAGCGATACTTAAAGTTAATATCTTTAAAAAACGGTTGAGGTTTTCGATTATCTTGCAAGATTTTTTTCAAGTAAGCAATTGGTTGTTTGTTGCCAGATGATGACGATTTACGATCACAAATTGCCTCTTACAGAATTGACATGACAATCATTAATGAATGAAGTGGTTATAATATAAAAAAACGAGCATTTTTACAGATAGTTAAAGATTTCAGCAGGTTAGTTAAACAAAATTTTCCTTGGTGTAAAACACCGTGAGTTTCTTTTTTACCTACTGATCTTATCTTTATCTTTATCTGCTTCGCTTATTTTATCAACAAGTAGGTGCAGTAGATAATGGTCTTTCCTTAAACTGATGTTTCATTTAATGTTTTTGAGTCTTTAAAGCAGATCCACTTTCTATTTAAAGCCCCGTCTTCTAACGAATTTCAGTAGAATTATTTTACGTAAAATATGAATGAGTTTTGCAAAGTTTTGCAACTGTACGTGTTACTACGGAGTGGGTCCACGGTACCCTACACAACCAAGTATAACTAGGTAGGCCTACTTTTGTGCACGATTTTCCCGACTAAATTGGATGTTTTAGTCTGCGAATACTTTTTAAATCAAAATAATATACATTCGTTATAGCTCAATGCCATTTACTTCAGAGAGGCCACAAAGATTCACGTAATGTGTACGAGTGCGTGTGTTAGGAGAGAGAGAGACAGAGAGAGAGAGAGAGGGAGGTACTTTGGTAAAAATGCAAAAAATTCAAGTTACTTTACTTCACGTCCATTTAACATGCTACGTAATTATGATATACATCAGAAATAACAAAGAACACAATCTCTTTTTTCCAGTTGTTTATCAAGCTCATTTATTGACGAACTTTATTCCCATTCAAAAATGTGTCGCCAGTAATCACATCCACCGCTCAGAGTGTCAACACCCTATTACGACTAACGCGTGTAAAAACGTACACCTTAACGACAAACGCGTGTAAAAAGTTACACAACCACGTGAATCACAGTTTTGTGTTCACCGTGCTTTGGAATCCATCAGATTTGTTTTATAGCACGTTTGATAGCGTGTATCTAAATTGGAAATTGAAGACTAACAAATAAACATGTATAAAGCACAAAAAGGTAAAAATGTATTCATCCTCCACCGATTATAACATACTGCATTTTCGTAATCGTTATGCTTTTCTATAACACAAGACTACTGACGAACACAATATCATTTTTCACGCGTGCATACAGCAGCTGACATACACAACTACATATTATTGTCCACATCAAATATTGTGAATATGGAAAGTAAAAAATGCTTAAAAGTTCGAAAAGAGTTAAAAACAATTCATAGAGTTATACATGAAAAAATAAGGTTGAATAAAACATAGGAAGCGAAACTACCGTCTACATGGTCACATGATGAATGCATATCCAACCAAAACGCATTGAATATTCACTTCATCACATAACCATTCAACTATATTTCCATCGCTGCCTATATAATATATAAATGGTATAGCTGAACCTAATGCCTCTATAATTATATATACGCTATATATAACCGTGTCTTGTCAACGTTTGAGAAGTGACTTCTACAGCAGTCAGCGCAGCTACGTATAACTCCGGCATATCTTTCTAATCCACTTTAAAATAGAGATTTCGTGTGCACATCACTATTTCTTGATATTCACCCACCACCAGCGAAATGGGCATCATGGCATATGTGGTCGGTTGATCCCTCCTTGTATCCTCGAGTTTAATACATATATGCGTCATTCATCCTTCCTCACAGCGTTGGCTATATCATTATGGCAGTGGCAAAAATACTTAAACAGTTTACATCCTGGGCTGGGAAACGGATCATGGTGAGTCGCCCGACTCAATAAGTTCTGGTACATCTTTCTGGTTATGTATATGAATATATATATTGAAATCATCGCATAGAATAACATATTTGGCAGTCTAATCCACTATTTCGTAAGCAATAAGCACCGAAGAATATTGTTACGACTGTGTTAACTACGTTGACAGCGTTAAGCATGACAAGTATCTCTGTCTCTCTCTCTACGGTTTCCCTTTCACCTTGTTCCACGATGTGTTGGTTGCATTGACAGCAGCGCTTTATGAGTAGGTGGTCTTTGAAATGTGGGAGGCCTTCTCCTGCAAAAAAACAAACACAGGGTATTGATTAAACTTTTTCCGTCTTTAAGATCATTTTGGGGGGCATTCTGTGTGAGAAAATTATCACCATAGAAGACACACCAACGACTGACACAAGACCTGAACTTTCGTAAACACAGATTTCAAAACAATGCATCTAAATACTGATAATTATTATTTAAAAAAATCAAATTTTGCACAACGCCTTACGGCATTAAAAATCACCGAAGCACTTACCGAACCATTCATATCGACGAGCATAGTGTGGATGTTGTTGCCAAGGGACCATTGGTCGAAGTCTTGGCTCTCCAGACCGGGAGCGCCACCCGATTTACCATGACCGAATACCTAAAACAGAAAGAAGTGGTTTTAGGCGTTTTCATTTCTGCCGAGATAGGCATAATTCCAAAGTGATGGTTAGGAGAAAGTTCTCTAACATCAAAATAGCAAACGTTTTTGTTTTTTTGTTTTCATCGGTCTTGTTTCTGGCTTGTTCCATGTTACACGCGTGTTTAACCGCTGGAATTGGTCAGCTTTACTGTATTTACCTTCAGTTTCTGGTGTGGGCTCAACAGAACGTTTTGTAGAACGAAGGCCTCTTTCTCTTTGCCATCAACCATACGTCTGATTTTCCATCCGTTGAGATTTTCCTCCTGGAAAACGAGAGTTTATCACAGTCATATACAATGCAAAATTGCACGCCATCGACAGGGCAAAAATAAAGAATAGCAATTTACTTCTAACAAATATAAATAAAAGTGAACCCTGGTAAATTAAAATCAAATTGTAGTGTATCGCATGGATTTTTCATGGGAACTACCATCAACTGACAGGAATGTAGTTCATATTTTTTGCTAGTAACATAAAGTAAGATGTTTTAAGAGCGAATAAAGAATGCACTGAATCGCACTGAATGCATTGAACTACCTAGACGTACAAAACGAGTTTCCAGAACAAAATGATAATCGCGTTGGGGTAATGAGGGTTACTTCTTTTGTACAGCGTTGTAGCAAAGAGTCTGTCACGTGGTATCAGCTCTGTGTGACTGCGATCTTAGTCGTACCTTTCTGCTAGTGTTCTCCAACTCGATGAAGTTGCCATGGGCATCAACTTCACTAATCGTGATGGGGCCCTTAGCACTGCGCTGGAACGTTGTCTTGGCGGACATCTCACCCTTCACCGTGCTCTGGGAAGCTTCAAATTCACCAGGAAGTAAACCAGATTGCATTTGATACGCTTGTTGTGACATGTCTGAGCTGGACATTACAATCGGACCACCCTGACCACCGCTTGTTTGGATGACGAACTCTGCCGTAGACGACCCACCGCCGCCACCACCACTCATGGTTGAGGTGCGTGACGCGTACGTCGCTGAACTTCTCTCTACGGTTCAGTATTAGACAGGGAAATGTGAGAATATATATACCGGTACACCAAACAGAATGAAAACCGTAACGCCGACATGACATGAATGATGAATAAAGTGTTGTAGAAGGTCTACATGGAAAAATATCTGCTACCAAGTAAACTATAGTCCTTCTTGAGTAAAGATCAAAAATTTTATCTGCGAATTAGCATCAATGACAAGTATATTTTTCAATATGCAACAGAAAAAATTATCTTATATTGGTAAAATTTCAGATAACCAAAGTGCAAGAAAGTAGTTTAGAAGAATCCGAAAATTTTACTGAAAAAACGCTTTACTGATAAGGAAAAAGTACACGAAACGTCAGTAAAGATGCGGGCAAAAGTCAAGACAAAACATGTCATGTTAGTTTGGCACTACCATGCCTTTTAAATAGCGTTCCTTTTCTATCACTCCTACGTCAAGATCAATTCACAAACTGTTTAGCATCAGTGACGTCACTGAGCACGATGCACGAAGGCCGGGTGGTCAGGCGTGGCCAGGCAAGTCCAGCACAAACGCAATGCAATAAAACAAGAACAAGTTTTCACACAGCAATTATTGTATAAAGCAACTTCCAGATATCTGTTTTACAAGATGCATTGAACATGACAGTGAGTATCAACAGTACTCTTACGATATTAATTAAATTCTAGATTAAAAAGAACATCTACAAAATGTTGCATATACTTTATAAAATAAACGTTATTCTATTCTTCGACGCACTAATTCAAATCATGTTGTGCACACTTAATCTAATGATATATAATATCCATGCTTGTTAGAAATCAGTTTATAAAGCTTCAAGGCCGATCTTAAGACTCAAAGATCCTATGTTTAGAATATCCTGAGCCGCGTCTCAGGGACATATCTTAAATCAAAAGTTGCGTTTTTTAAAAATATTTACACGACCGTTAAAGTGGATTCTAACTTGCTAATAGCTTTACGTAGGTCAAATATGACTACGTTCTCTCAACTTCAATTCTGTATTGTAAAACAGGACCCGAGTCATAAGATGCGACCATAAAATTTCAAACCAACTATGACAACAACAACAAAGAAAGAAAGAAAAATACAATACTAATAAAGATTGTCAAAACACAAAGTAAAAAGGAATAAGATCCAAACCACAGCGAGTTCATATAAAAAGTAAAAAGGCACCATCGAGTTGATGTGTGGCCTCAAGAAACCCGAAGTAGTCACCGTACGTAAGATGGGTATACAGTAAAGAATCTCGCTGTGCTTTGTATCTCTGGTCTACATTGAATACAGATCACAATAAAAAAGAACAAGCAGTAAATATAATGATGATGATGAGCACTAATATTAAGGCACAGTGTAAGTAAAACGCGAGTTCAATTCAATTTAGAAATATTAAGAACAGTGCGCCCTTCCTGTGTCATTGAACAGGGGTTGGGCGTACCTTCTATGATGCACCGTAAACCTTCGATACAGAAGCAGAAAATCTGGTCATTGAGTTGTTCATATTAGTGCAGGTAGGGATTAGGCAAATAAATCACACCTCACATGCTACATGCATTTCAACGTCAACTTTCGCTATAATTTCGAAGAAGGTCGAGACTCATTGTGTAAGTTGGTCCATCTCTTACCAGAATAAAACTTCCAGTTCTACCGCAGATAGCTCTTATTTTGGGACTACCAGACATAATTGAATTTTATTAGAAGTAGCAAGACTTTTAAAGGAAATGAATTTTAAGGCACCAGTAGTATTCCATTTATACATGTGAAAAAAACTGACGTGTACAATACAAAAGAACGACCATTTAAAACACGAGCAGCGTAATGAAACCAAATACACTTGCTGTCGAGAAAAACAAAAACAGAAATGTTTTGATCATATTAAGCATCACGGAGTTCTGATGAAAAAACAACAGAATTCTATCAAAATACTTAAGAGGACGAGAAATGAAAGTGATTTTGAACAAAAATGGTCTGGTTTCTGTACATTAAACAACAAGCAGGACACCCACATACCGGGGTCCGCCTCACTGCCGCCATCTTTTTTCTCCTCAATTGGCGCCTCTCCTTTCTCGTCTTGTTCCTCCAAAGCACCCTTTTCTTTGGGAGGAGAGCTGGGAGAGTGTTTCTCCTCAGGCCTTCCTCTAGTGATGAACTTACGAATGGAAGCATCTCTCTCTCTGTAGTAAACCATTGGCTGTTAATAGGGTGTCATGTTATGCAAATTAGTAAGTGCGCATCGCAAAACCCAGGGCAATCTCACAGACCTTTTGTTGAGCTATATAATTTTCATTTACTCTTGGTAAAAATCATGAAAAAAATCATGTAAAAATCATCTGTTTAAGTTTCTTTTTCCTTCGTGAGATATCAAAAGCCAAACAAAAAGTCTTGAGTGTACTGCCCCTAGCGTAAGTAGATATATAGATATATCTATGACTACAGATGGCACTCCTATCAGCACCCTTCAAGACGTACCCATTTGCATACCGCCGGACATACCACCTGACATGGACATGCCACCGGACATCCCACCGCCAGCAGACATAGACTCGGAGCCGGTCATAACCTGTTCAACTACACTTCTCAAACCGATCCTAATAGAAAAAAAATGAAATGCAGTTCGATTGAATTAATATGCCACGAGCACGTGTCACATCTTCCACTGCGACCAGGTCATTCTCACTACCCACTTTGGCTGAAAGGTTGAATGATAACATATTAACAGTTAATAGACGGCTTGGTCATTCTAAAGGAATTTTGAGAGAGTAAAATCTTAAATGTGGTACGTTTTTTTTAGCCGTACGATATAGTTAGAAAATGCCCTTATGGATGCCGCGTAATATCACCTTCAGATGTAACCTCCACGACTTTTAGAACAAAATTTATTAACTCTGTCCAGTTTCAGCAAAGCAACACACTAAAAACATTTATTAAAAGTATCCTTTACAAATAAAACAAAAACAATTAAGGCCGTATAGCATTTTTTTACGTCGTGAATTCTTTACACAGTAAGGTTCATTTAATTAGGTTTTGCACCAGACGATATCGATCTTTTTTATCTAGGACCAGCCACGGAAGCAAAAGTACGTCCCTTCCCAACATGAATGACTACTCTCAAACATAGTCGAGACGAAGGGTTTGAAGATATGGAAATGGTCGAAAGTAAACACACCCTTATCAATACTCACCTGTCTTCTCTTATGTTTGACAAATACAGGGCAAATAAAAAATGAACATCTTACGAGCAAACATGACTTTCGTCATGATTTTTAAATTTTCAACAGATGAAAGAAATGTAATGTTCTTAATTTTGAGACATATAATTAAGTTTTCATTCAATAACTCCTTCATTTTATATCCAAAAATGGGTATTAAGTAATCAATATATTCTCCTTTCCTATGTAATACGAAATAGCTTTTTATACAACACATCGATATTAATATGGAGTATAGTTCTCACCTGCTCTCTTCTCCTTCCAGAAGTTTCCTGTAAGCAGCAATCTCGAGTTCCAAGGACAACTTGGCATCACTTATGTGGTTAAAGTCAACCATGATCTTTTCATTTTCTGCCCTCAGTTCTTCCAATTCTGTCAGCAGTCTGGACCTGTCCAATTCGTTCTCACGGAGAAGTTCGTCGAGCTCGCGACACTTCATGTCCAAATCATTTTTCAGGTTGGCAATCTATTAATGGAGTGTAAATATACGTCAAGTTGATACAACGTGTACACCAAAGTTACATACACAGCTTTAAAATCTTCTATCGGAGAATCTTGGTAAAGTTTTATGCAACTGCCTCACAACAACTTGTAATAACCCAGAGTTCCGCCAATTTGCTTATTTGCTTATGAGCTAGTCCCATGTCTATGTTTTATGGGTGCCCTCATGACAAACGATACATCATCCCCTTTACGGCACCAATTAATGGAGCCACACTAAATCAACGTGGAAATAACTGCACATAATTTAGAACCTACCTGGCTCTGGAGATCGGATGTGTCTCTGTTCTTGTCGCTAAGGGTACTTCTCAGTCTCTGGATCTCTTCCTTGGTGTGGACCAGTTCCATGTTCTGGCGATTGGCACCAGTGCGCTGTTCTTGGATCTGAAACACAGCAGAGCATATCAATTGAATTATGTATTTAAATACCTAAAAGCAGCCGATATTGATGATTTTTTTTTTTGGGGGGGGGGGGTGAAAATATAATGCAAACTTCAATTAATCAATTGAATTATGTATTTAAATACCTAAAAGCAGCCGATATTGATGCTTTTTTTTTGGGGGGGGGGGGTGAAAATATAATGCAAACTTCAGTTACAGTGATTCACACTGCGGTAGGTGTGAATTTGTCACAGAAAAACATTACTTCCAAGGATTGCATTACAAATTGCGGTAGGGGAGAACAATTTTGCAGTCATCTTACCTTAACATTGTAGAAGGCTTCCATTTCCTGCTTAGCGTTATCCATTCTGCTTTCGTACTCTTGGGAGATTTCTCTAAGAGCCTGTGCCATCTCACTCTTCCAGAACTCGCGGTTTTCCTGGGTGGTGTCTCTGTATGCAAGAGCCGCCAGCTCCTTCATTTCCTACAGTAATTAAGAAAGAAATTTATTAGGAAGTAGTTGCATATAAAATAATCAGAAAACTCTTTTTGGCTAATTTAATGAAGAAGAATCAAAGGGATTTGAATAGCATTTGCTTTAAAAAACTGGCACATATTTTCAGGAAATATGCATGAGTTAAATCAAAATATATCTTTGAAAAATAAAAGATAATAACATATGACTAAACCTTCATTGATCAATATGTTTCAACTCGACGTTGGACAAGACTGGTGGAGATAACAGCTTTCATTATATGCTGGTGCCAGCTCAAAAAACTAACTGTTCAACGTTACACGCAGAGGTACCAGTGCATTTATGATATATAATGACAAAAACTGACATCAATTTAGGTACACCGAAAAAACAATAACGATAATGTGACAAGATTGTACGATGTCACTTCGCCGGCCCGCCCAAGTGACGATAAGTGTTCACCACGCTCTGTGAGTAAAATTTCGTTTTGCAGGATCATATAGAATGGTGTGCATAGAAGACTGGTCACAAATAGATGCGCATCCATGCAATATGTTAAAGGTACAAACCTGGTCATTGATCTGTTTCTGGAACTCCAGGGCCTCTTCAGCGGTCTGCTTCTCATTCTCGGCAGTGATACGGGCCAGGGTTTCAGCGTCAAGTTCCTATAAATATGATAAAGAATGAGTCAATTAAAAGCAATGTGCTTTTTTGATAACTCCCACGTTAAGGCCCATGTCAAATGGTGCCGAATATGTCATAGGAAAAAAGTAAAAATCAATTCTTTCACGCTACGAAGTTTGAATATTATTTCCTATTTTGCTTAAGTTTGATCTGAAAACAAAATTACTTTCTTAATAGCTGATCATGAATGTTGCACTTTTATAATAGGGCAGTGGTGTTATTATTATCTAACGGGCATTACAATGTATTATGCCTGAGTTCCACGCCAGGTTGGAGAGATTTCATCTAATCAAAATGCTTTTATCGGAAGGGCAAGGCGATCGATAGATTCTCAGACATACATGTACATTGCCACGGCGCCCTATAAGTTATTGATGCTTGCTCTGGACACAAAGGGCGGTAGATATTCTCGTTATGTGTTTCTATTTCCTTAACTGGAAAAACGATTTTAACTTATATTTCGTTGTTAAAATAAGATATGTAGACACCGATCTGTCCAACCAATTGACCAAGTTGCAGATCTCTCTCTGTCTCTCTCTCTCTCTCTCTCTTTCTTTCCGTTTTTCTCACTTAAGTCGACTATTTTTTCTGTTGGCCAACAATAGAGTCAAAATTCCAAGAATTGACTGATAGCGATATGTTAAATGAAACATCATCTACGAGGCATTTGGAATGATTGTGTTTTGATGTGTCTTCCATAGTAATTATATGGAGCATTTTAAAAGGGCGTTTGCTGACTAACTCTCCTAGAAATCCAGGCACGTATGGAAGACATCCAACCAAATACATCATGGAAAGAGCAATTCCTGGATGGGCAATGGCTCAACGTATACGTGTTGACATAATGGATTATGCTAAAAGTGTCGTCAAGAGAAAAAAATTGTACGAATTTTATGCACGTTCAACAATGCCTGCATTTTGAAGCGTTTCACACAAAACTGTATATGCTCATGTATGTATGCTGTCGTCTGTCTTTTTCCTTGTTCCCCAAGCCGGTTTCTAGGGGTTACGTGTACTCAGGCACTCATTTAATGTGCCTTCCTCTCAGTCTTAGATAGTAGAAGTGGACGAGGACGGTCCCAGTACAGCCCGACCTCTGACGGGAAGGTGTGTTTGGATTATCACTTAAAATGTTCAGATGGCTCTAATATAAAACGCATCGCATTATGATCTTGATAAAAATGACACATACATAACTTAACCTGCATACAAGACAATCCAACCCAACGTTTTGTTTTGCTCGACACGCATACAGGATCAAGATGTGCATTCACCGGTAACTGTTTTATACAGTGTATAATGCCAGGTCACCTTTATCTTGCCGTCGTCAACTGCTATATAATATATCTTGTTATCCGAAACGGGAACCACAGAAAGATCACCGCAGTTTACTTTACGGTGTCAAAGCAGGCATGCATGACCGAACACGGAGATTCAATCAAAGGGAGTCTGGTCATCTAAAGACCAATGCTACTACCCAAAACAGCAAACACAGAATTTTATTTTGCTAAGATTTCAAAAGCAGTGTATATGTGCAAGGGATCTACACTGCTGTTGCACGAATACCACATATTCGTCAATATCCAAACACACAGCTAAATAATACGTGTCTTTTAAACACTGCACTCATAACTGCCGCTATTCCCTCCAATATGCCAGCACGGAAAACAAGGGGGTGAAAGCGGCAACACAGAATCCTTAATCTTAACAAACAACACGGAAACACAGTAACTTTAAACGGCCACAAAATTCAGTTCTCTGCTGAGGTTAAAAACAGGTAACGCAGAACCCGCGCCACCGCCCACCTTTTACATGGTAAAACGAACCACCTAAGGCACCTTGCAAACCGGTTTGACTGGTAGCCGGGTAGCGTATATCCGGCCTGTTGTTGTATCCCAGGCCACCGAATACGTTGAATAAACGGAAGGTGAACTTCTAAGTGCTTGGGAAAGAAAATATGAGATTTTTTTTTGCGAAATAAGCAATCGCTTTGAGTGCTTTGGGCACACCGGAGAAGGCAAGGGACGCTACAACGCTTGATTGGCTGATGTATTAAAGGCGCGTCACCAGAGTTGCCAGGTGGAAAAACGTTGCACTAGATAACCAAAGGACCTTCTACTTCCCAGACAACTTGTTTCGATACGTAGATTCCAAATGAATTTGAGATTTCTGGCACAGTGTTTCGTGTCCTTTATGGTCAGGATTGCAAAGTTTATTTGCGCCCTGTTCTTGTGTCACGTACATTGTACACCTTGATAATTAACATGACTGTTCAACTGTTTGGATCCCTTCCCTATTTTGCGTTGCTGAATCGTCACTCTTTTTTATCTTTGAAGCGTTTGGCTTTTATGCAAGTTCAACACAAATTGAAAGTAACAAATATAAACTTCAAATACGTTTTTAAGAAATGAGTTACAACATTAAATTAAATAGAATAAGGATGTTATATAAATAAAAAAGAAACTCACCATCTGCTTCTGTTGGCAGGCGGTTCTCCATTTATCGGCGTTCTTCTTGGCGACGTCCAGTTCTCTCTCCATGAAGTCCACGCGTCTTCTCAGAAGGTTGATTTCGGACTCGTAGTCAGAAAGGGTCTGGTGGTTCCTCTCGATCTCGTCTTTGTCTTGGTTGCGGAGATTAAGCAGATCTGCATTCCTGCAAAAAGATTGATGATATTGGTTAACACAACGTTTTTCAATGAAAACGCCAAGAAATCGTCCCTGATGCAGTGAAAGTGTAGGTTATAATTGATGCTATATGTTTTTTTAATGCGTGTATACAGGTTGTCAAAAAATATTCCGCTTTTATGTCATACTGCTTAAACTGTACTCTAAAGGCACCTTTAATCCGTCAATATTTAGAATGCTCAACATCATGAGGAAGATTTTTTACCCCTCATATAGGATAAGCAAATGTACTGGGCTAGAAGACTATTGGTCCCACTTATTGTTGTTAAAATATCATAGTTTTTTTTAGAAGATAAAATCAATTGGAAATGACGGGCAAATTTTGAAAAATGCACCCTATATACCGATATTATAGTTGTGCCACGTGTCTCACTTCCTTTTTTTAACGCTTAATATGGGCTATGACGATGATCCGGGTTTTCTGTGCTATGGTTACTGACTGAATTATGTACAATTGAAAGGGGGTCATTGCATTTTTTTCTCCGGTATCAAATCTACACAGTTACAATGTAAAATATATTTTATCCAGTGTGTATATTTTATTTTTAAAAAAATCGACCCCTAATATTTGAACAATTTTCATATCAGCCAAAGCGAGCTTGGGGCGAAGGCAACGTTTATGGAAGGGGCATGCATATGATGACATAAAATTTGAAAAATTGCCGACAACATCTGTATTAACTGGTTCTTTGAAGTTTTTATGAGCGTTTTAAAACAGAAAGACATAAAATTCTCAGCTGTTGTTTTACCCATTAAAATCTGAATCAGACCAAATGTGAAATGTAAGGACACACGTGCCTCTTTATGTTTCATTTAGTAACTGGATTCTTTTTCCAAAACCAGATATGCTGGTAGATATGGTAGATAGGCTAAGCTTTACACAAATGCATAATGGATGCTTACTGATATATGGATCAAGAAGACACATTCATGTAGACCTAAACCTTATTTAATACCACGTAACATAACTAGACTCAAGTGATCTGAATGCATTGTACCAAATCGCTTTCAACAAAACTTATTTCAGTCAGTCAGATTCGGATAGTGTATTCAACCACAAATCACACACTTTTATATAAACTAGATTCTCTTAAACCAACGGGAGAGAGAGAAATTTAATGACACCCATAAATATGCCACATCACTCCATTTCACGTGAAGGTGGATCGCAAACTATCGTCTGCTACCATGGTGATTTACCGTCTGCTTTCATCGTTCGACCTAGCACCGGCATGACATTATATTTCATTAATATTGGCTGTTTGAAAAGAGAAACTATTGTATATCATGATGCGACTGAAGTCTACATACACGATACCATACAGCTGTATATCGAAAATTCACTTTGCATACCCACATCACACACGCCATATGCTTCAACCATGAATATTTTAAGATGACAGGACTAATGCACATGGAATCGTGTGGGATACATAAAGGCGGGGCCTACAAGGCACAAGTCATATAGAGTTTGCTCATACGCTTGTGAAATATATGAATGACAACTCTTTTAGTTCTTTTTAGATGCATATAGTTCTTTTTAGATGCAAATAGTATAGTAGCAACCAAAATTTCAGCGACTTACAATTCGTTCTCAGACCCCACAGAGAGAAATCGGCGCCATAGTTTTTAACATTGCATAACAAAGGATTATAAGGTTACATATCTCTAACAAACATCTGTTTGACCGAGATTTTTTCATGTTTACCACGAGACATTGAGCGACATTTTTTTTATTGTTCAAGTGGGACATGACTTAAGGGTATGATTTCATAATATATAAGTGTTTCGGTTTTTACAAAATATAAAGTTCCATAAATGCAAAATCTCAATTAATAAAATTCCATTGAAATATAAGAATTTGCATTGCAACAACATAGTGACGACGCTTTACAAATTTACAGGACGACGTTCTGTTCGACACCATTTTTGTCAATCAAGAGCACAGCGGAAGGTGCAAACAAGAGGTGACATTCCCAAATAATACTCCCGGTATAGGGATGCCCGTCACAAGAGGAAAAAATGACCCATTGTGATGTCGGCAGCATTTGCGACACGCAACTTGCCCCACTGCGGTAGGAAAAAAATCAGACATTAGGATTTCATGAAGTACGAATCAATAACAGAAATAATTATGCAACGGAATTATGAATACAAGTGCCTGGAGAGACCCAATGAGTCATCTTTAGTAAACTGAAAGACAGCAGAACTGGTCGGAAGACAAACATTAGCTTAAAGTGGCGGTGTGGGATTACAACTAGGAAGATGCTAGGAAGATGACAAAACCAAACAAAGACACTTTATTTGGTGTTATATGTGCTAACCTAGTGGAAGCCTAATCGTTGAATTTGAGAATTTGCGAGTTCTCAAGATCTAGTTCCTCAATTGTTTTCATTTCGCAGTACCAAACTTAAATTCAATAGTTTTCAATATTGAATACCAACGCCCGTCTATGTCTGTCTGCGTAACATTCCCATCTGTATGAAGGAATCATTTGCACATGTCATTAAGTTTTAAAAACAGAAATACTCGCATTCTGCAATATTATTCATGAATTTCAACATTTGTGAGTAAATGTACTGGGTTGAACTCTGATGTGACCCATGCTAACACTTGGTTTACGGCAACTTGCAAATATTTTCCTCAACATAATCACTGTTCACCTCTCGCCGAAATTACGTCACGCAGGTGTTACGATTGTCACGGTCAATTACAGTCGTAGCACGTCAGAACAATAACGTGTGCGGACAAACGTACCAAAGGGGAATAAAGTAACTAATGAGTCGTTAAATTTGGGGATCACGAGGTGAGACCGCGAACTAGCCCTTGCAGTTCCTGATTGTAAACAATTACGCGCTCAATTAGCACATTGTAATCACTGTATACTGACATTACCGACTTTGTTGCCGAGATTTTTAAACAGCGTAGCGGATGTTTTTTTACAACAAAATACACCATTGTCACCTTTTTTTTCATGGACATACAGACAATCCTCTGACAATGACCAAACCCTCTTCTTATTTGTTAGATGTCCTTCTCAGTGATAAAAAGCAATAATGCAGTTAAACTCTAATCAATTTTTTCACATGTATAATAATGATATTGGTAAACATTCCACGACTAGTGACAAACCGCAAAAGAAGACTGTTCCTAAGTCTAAGCTGTGCAGCCTTAATTTCGTTTGATCAAATGTGACATCATTCGTCCGGTGTAGCGCCGCAGGTGTCATTTGTCACCTGTGTCTGTCCCAGACAAGGTGTGGATGACAAGAGGGGACGGGGTGCCAGATTATACCAGCTAGCACAGAGACACGGCGACAGACATCACGCCCTTAATTAATTGAAAGCTGGAACAAGGAGTCAATGACAGAAGAAGACAGCAATCGCATGACAGTGACAATGACACGAGTCAGACGGCACAGGGCGTTGATTTGGAATATTAACAGAAATACTTATGTTCTTCTGCCCATTTGTATCTATTTGAAGGCCAGAAGATGGGTGACTTCCTAACTGTAGACAACCTTACGGAACCAGGCTAACGCCCTTGATTAATGGCATCAGCATTTTATCAATGGCCTCCAGTATTTGCATTGCATTAACACGGGCAGGGCATACGTATACGGTTTAATTTGAAAGCTGCCTCGTTTCATTTTAAAATTGCGTTAAGATTGAGAATGTGCTTGGCCTTTCTTTTCCGAGGTCAAAACAGATTCTAACAGATTTTAAATTGAATTTTTATCGATTTGCATTCGGTAAAGATGCAGTGAAATATAATACTTCTTGAAAAGTGTGAAACCGTGCTTATTCTCCAAATTGGATCTACCTAAACCTTTGCCGACACAGTAACTCCGTATCTGGTGTTTAAATAGCACCTGTTCATATTTGCTAAATGGCATTTGTCAAGCTGAGTAATAATTCAACGTAAATGTTATCCCCCTGCCCCATTTTTGACTGTGGATGTTAAAAAATGGGCCACTTAAGCGTCGTTAACAACCTTGCTGTCGAGCTCCGCCCTTTAAACAGGTGGGATGGGGAATTTGTATTTAGCTTCCATAGCAGCGTCTGTTGCTCACTGGATGTGCTGTCACCCAAGGGCATGCTGTGAACTCTGCTGCGTTCCCAGCTTGCCCTCCAGACAGCACGAGGAGAGCAAACATGAGCACATGAACACCATTACTCAGGTGGGGGCACACCTTGCACAGGAAGAGAGTCAGCTACTATTAGTTTACCGATTACCCATCACTGTCACCCAGTCCACTCCGAAAATCCCATGTACTTGTTGATGACAATGCTTACACTAGTGCAGCTGACCTTTCCTACTGACCCTTACTGACCAATGACCACCACTTAGCTCCGTCGCCTCACAAGAATATCATCATAAAACAGATGAGCTGACCTCACTTAAACGGTGCTGTTTGGATAGCGTGTTCAAGTGTATTTATTTTACTTTAAGTGAGAGATTAATTGCATTAGCAAACAAACCCGAATGCATTAGAATTTTACAAGTCCGGAAAGTGCCAGGTGCTTATTTTTCGGATGATGTTTCAGGTTTAGTGTGCTGTATTAGATATTTTGTGTCTAGGGAATGAGGAAATCCTTTCATGTTAATTTCTTATTCACTCCACTGGGTATACTTTTTCTCTACTTCAACATCTACAGCACCTCCAGGGTTTCTGGAACCAGACGGCGATCTGTCAAGCGGTGCAGTCATCGATTCATATCTAAAGTTTAGCTTGCATATCTATATTGGGAGCAAATACCATGCCCTGCTTTTTTCCTATTCAATGGACAATCAAGGGATGATTTAGAAAATGGAACATATCCTTACACATACTTCACCAATGCTGCACAGTGTACTATGAAAATATTTCAGTATATTGACGAAGACATGAGAGCCCCGCCCTCTGATGAGTCAGCGCTAATTGCATTTTAATTACTTTTTTGCGCAGCATGTTTTTTTTATAAATATGGAAATGAGGAAAAATTCCAAACTGTGATTCTACGTTGGATATCAAGCAGGCATGGGGCGTGTACATAGTATGTTCACCAATAAAACTATAATTAAGCACGCTGGAAACAACACATCAATTGATAATACAACATGATATTTTATATATACCAGCAGACCAACTTCATCTACCGTAGATCCTGTAATATCTGACATATAGCTCAACGTGCATGATAAGAGGAAGAAATAACCCGCAGTTCATATATTCTTTAACGTACACTTGCGGTTAGTCGATTCCTTCAGCTGTTCCCCCGTCATATTTATATAACCACGCCGGGCTGCATTCTCAAGATATGCGCACGTACATGCCCTTCTATTTTTGGTTGAATATATATAGCAAATATAACATGCAACACTTATATCAAAACTCTACGGCCAATCTTACTTATACTATGGTTTTTAAACAGCAACGTTGACTTGCTGGACGAGGGGGTTGGTTGTAAATCCTGATCTAACAACCCCCACCCTACCCAACCCCATGTGACTGCAAAGAGAACAACATCAGTGATGTAGAAATGGCATGCAAATAAAACCAATTTGCTCTCCAGATTGATTTCCTTACTGCGGCCTTAAATCGATGTAAAAGCCCACATTAGGACCTCAGTGAAACTGCAGTTTAGAAGATATGTGTGCTCAGATGCTAACATGCAGAAAGAAGTAGCCCCGACAACAATGGCAGACGATATATTGAAACTGAAGTTTTTCGTTTGTTGTCAAGGACAGACATGTGTGAAAACACGTCATCCCGCGTTGCATTTTGTTAAGTTAAAGAGCCTTGATTCTAATGCTTCCGACAGAAGGATGATTTTCTAAAAATTAACTAAACTGATTAAATGCAAAATACTAAACGAGATATGCAAATATTGGTAGTAAGCAATTAAGCAATTTTTTCAGGGACGTGTATCGTTTTGCCGGTGTGCTTGGTGTGGTTGAATACAGCCCCCAGATTTAGTTTACTTGTTCAGCACGTACGAGTTAACTGGCCGTAGTTATCTATATCTTAGGAAGTGTATAGATCGCAATGGCTTTATCAGCTCAGGCATTTTGTTAACACACTGATTTATCTGATTAACAGCGTTTTGTGGATAAAAAACAGGCATTTTGCATAGCGATATAGGTTGTATTTTTATTATGTTTCGTCTTTATAAAGAGGAAGAGAAACGCCGCAGGGAGTTTACACGATTGCACGAATTTAGCACTTTGCTATAAAAACCTCATGACTTGCTATTTAAAAAAATTGAATTACCTTTACTGAATAAATAATTAACGCCAGAAAAAAATATATTTCTTCGGTGAAAATGACACTAACTACAAAGGTCTCGACAAGGGTGTTTACTTTCGCACTACCACGTGCACAGAAAACGCCGGCCGGCACCGGCCTTGTTAGCTTGCGTGTCACGTTAAGCGGTAAAACTGGTTATGAGTTTGGGAACGCTTTCGCATGACGTCACTTCCTCGACTTTAGAGTTAACACCTCTAAATGGGACATCGTTCAGCTGTCTGAATTCATGACTTTATAAGGAAAAGGAGACTTGGCAGTATGCTAATAACTTAAATGTACGCCCTGTTGACAACAACGAAGACACATTTGGTTTGGAGAAGGAAAAGCCCAGATTCCATAAAAATTCTACTGGGTGGCAAAAATTTCTGAATGAATTCATTGACAAATCCCCCCTGGGCGTGAGGTGAAACAAGCGACATCGGCTGTTTTCCCATTGCTCCTGCATACAAATATGACTAGGTAAAAGCAGCTCTGCGCGACCTCTACTGCAAACAAAGGTCGCAAAAGACAAACATGAAAACAGGCCAAACTGGTTTACACGACGCATTGATAAAACCTGATTTTGTTAACTCTCCTTTAGGGATACAAAATACGCAGTCACAGCGTCAAACCTTTTTTCTTTTTTTTTTAATTTTAGGGAGGGGGAAATAAAAACCACCAGAAACATTTTTAAAGTCTTTGCTCCATATATTGATTAAAATTTGAGTGCATAAATAAACAGCGTTGGCTTCCAAAGAGTTTCCGCTTGGCCTGAAACATTGTCAACGCCACCCAGTGCACAACAGCTGAATAAAAGGCACTGCATCATTGAAGCACACGTTATTTCTTACTTAACATTTAAAGACCGCAATCACTAGTTCCCGAGTTACAGTAAGGGGAACCTGTTGATTCAATCCACTTAAACTCAAAACAACTGATAGGCGCAATGCACATACTCATAGGTAAACGGCTTTGTATAGTTCAAGCGGCAGCGAGAGTAATGAACCCAAGAGGACGTACTTGGTAACTCGAGAAAACTCATTTCGACATATTATGCATTTGAAACTTATGAATACACTTTGATGACCTTCGTAGATTTCCCAAACCGTGACTGTCTCTTACGGCTACTCTAACAACTCAGACGGTGCCAAGAGCAAATAAAGCAAGTTGAGCTAATTCTGTTATCAGTGATAGTGGCCGCTATTTCACACAGCCGGTGTGAAGAAGGGTGTGGGTGGGGGGGGGGGGGGTGCGAGGCAGTACGCGTTCTGTATTACCTACAAGACGGGAGTTATTAAGGTAGAATAGCTTTACTGGCTCCGTGCTGTTTGTTGCACACCTGGTAAGCCGATATGAGGCACGTCTTAGCGAATGAGTGGCTGCAGAAGAATTCCCTTATAAAGTTTCACGTGTGGTTCTTTGGCTTACTCATTCAAGCACAAGAGGGCAGAAGTCTTGAAAAACAATTTTGCATTGATCTCTTTTTCAGCAGAGTCAGTAATGAAACAACCCACCTAGACGGTAAACACGTTACGCCGATTACGCATCACTACGTTAATGTGCACTCACGCGAGATTTACGTAAGTTCTATTTTTTAAAACAGACCGACCGACAGGATTTTGGGAAATTGTTTGCACTATGAATCGAATAAGGTCACACCTTTTTAACACGCTTATCAACCCGCAGACGCGTTGAATAGCGTCAGTCGTTCAGATTGAAAGTCGGGCAATGATATTGTGAGTTTGTATACACTTCCCTTTTACCGGATTTTTAAACCTTTTAAAACACTATACATATTGCTAACACGGCATACCTACGGCGCCTAAAACCATAGCGCTTTTAAAGGGTTAACATAATAACTGAGCCCTGCATATAATCTTCATAAACAGCACGTATAACATGGATGAAGATACTACTTACTCTCTTTGCAAGTCTTCAATCTGCTCCTCGAGACCCGCCAACTTGGCCTCCAACGCTCTGTACCTAGTGTCAGCGTCGTCTCTCTGCTTGCGCAATTCCGTCATCTCCCCCTCGAACATAACCTTGATGGAGGCGGTCTCCTTTCCCCATTTCGCTTTTAGATTCTCCAACTCCGCAGCAAGTTTGCGGTTTTGGGCCTCCAAAAAGCGTACCTTCTCGATATAGCTTGCAAAACGCTCATTCAGATCTTGCATATCTTGCTTTTCCCTTTCGCGTGTTTTGGCCACGTTATCGGCCGCGTTGCTGCTGATCGCAGAGGAGCCTCTGGAGGCACCGTATCCATAACTGACCACGACTTGCCTGGACATACCCGCGCCAGCGCCACCGGCGCCTATGCCGGGAAACACGGGTCCTTTGCCATACCTTCCGTGGCGACTAGCGACAGGTTTGTAAGAAGAAGACGACGAAGAAGCGGAGCTCTCGTAGTGCATGGTTTTGGCACCCCCACCCCCACCTCCCATCTGGCCCCCACCAGAAGAGCTGCTGCTCTCCGTTTTCTTCGTTATCTTAACGCTGGAACTCGACATGTTTTGTTGTTAGTGCGCTCCGAAAAAATGGATGGCCTGCAGTATAATTCTATCTAAGAAGCCTTCGCCCGGTGCCTGTCGTACCTAGCTGCGACGTACTGTGTAGAGCGCTTGCTATAAGAGGAGCCGGGTATTTAAAGCAGCGTGCTCGGCCTACTATTGATTAATCCTGACTTTGGATTGGCTGTTTTGCGTCACGTGGTACCGGTTATTTGTGCGTCAGACTGGAAAGCCTGACCCATGCCAAACCACAGAGAACAGGATCTGAATATGAATGGTTATAGCTTGTGCATTAAGGGCATAGTAAATCATATGCAAATCAACCTTCTTCTCTAACTCACCTAACCAAAAACTTTTTTCTACATCATTGCCATGGACTATCTAGTCAGGTTACATTAAAAGACCAATGCGTCTCGTTGGCAGCTGTAATGTCACTTGAGAGTAAGACACACACCGGTGTTACATGAAATACGTTAACATATCTACAGAGCATAGGTATGTTAGTCAGAAAATGGCGGATCAAACTTCTGTACCCCCCCCCTTTCTTTATGCCCTGTATATGGTCTTGAAGGAGGGGGGGGGGTTATAATTAACAGTAGGGTCTGGTCAGACCTGGTTCAGGACGCTGTACAAGGTGACATTGAACTCTGTGTATTGCTAATAAACATTCAATACAATACATCTGACTAAAAGCCAGCTCTGTGTTCTCATTGAGCGTTAACTCCACTATTACCATTTTATCCGCATTTATATCTGTAGAGATAGGGTGCTTTGAGAGGCAAAATTTAAGATTGGGTTGCAAATACCGCATGTATCCCTCTTCTTATTTTGGTTAAAGTGAGTCCTAAAGGACTATGCTGCAGAAGTGTAAATACTTGAGTGTTATCTTAAGACCTCGGAAAAAGTAAAGAAAATATATGACCTCAAAGTTCAATTCCCCATCTCTCTCTCTCTCTCTCTCTCTCTCTCTCTCTCTCTCTCTCTCTGTGTGTGTGTGTGTGTGTGTCTCACCGTATTGTTTGTGCGTGTGTGCGTGCGCTTATAGGTAAACAAGATTTTTAAAAATTGAAGATAGATACTCTCTGTCCCTCAGTTCGTGTCTGAATGCGTTTGTATTTTACATAGCTGGGTATAAAAAAGAGTAGACAGACGGCTGTAAGTAGTTGCATGCTTGCCCTTGAACTAATTGATAGAGCTATACCTTTGAGGGATGCTATATAAAGCGTTACAATGGAAAGAAACCAAGGTAACCCAGTCAAAGTTGAAGTGGTAACAGAAACGGCTGTTTGAAGCGTGAAGAAATGCTGGTTTACAGGTAGTCGAAATGGGTCGTATGTAAGAGGCGAAGCTAGAAATAAAAAAAAAATGCTGCGGCAAATATAGCCATGTGGGTACAATGGTGACTATTTCATCGAGAAGGGCTGGAATAAAAAGCTGTCAAAAATAAGTCGCTGCTCATGAGTAAGGCATCCACTTTAAGAGCGGTTTTTCTAGAACTTCCCGGGTGTGGGGGGGACGGTCGACCACGGTCTAGGACATTCTGACCATCTTGCGTAGCAGGACGCCCTCACAAAGAGCATAACTCTCTCTCCTGAGCACATCAAAGCATGACACCTGTCATTAATTCAGAGTTAATCGAGGGAATAGTTTTTCTTTTCCGGTCTTCCATCTCTTTTTGATACACACGTACCTGCCAGTGTGCACTACGTACTATACTGAGAAACATTACGGGCTGCAGCTAATAACGACATTGCATTCCCATGTGTTGTCGACCATTGCTTATTGTGCAGGCCGCTTTATACCGCAATGAAAGATGTAATGCAATGTCCAACATAACAGATTTTATTTTCCAGTTATAATCAAATTGTGTATAATGTGTACTAGGCTATGTCTATTGATTTACACGATATTGTCAGTTGTAGCTATTGAAATCCTTTGAATGGTATCTCCCTAAGAAGATATACATATAGTCCCTGCACTGAGCGTCCGATAACGTGACGTTGACACTCAGTGACGCTCGATCAGTGGGTTAAAGATAGGAGCACAGTGTTAACGTTCACTTGTCTCTACGGGGATCAAAACTATTAGCTAATGATGCCGTTCAAAGATCGTGCTGTTCCACGCGGTGATGGCGCTTTGTGATATTTCACATAGAAAGTAACGTGTTAGATTTGCCACTCTACGAGGCCTCGCAATATCTGTAAATTTTCATATAATAAATGATCTAAATTAACAATCAGCAATAATGTGGGGTAAATTTTTTTCTGTGAAAGAGACATCGCTAGGACCACCATGATGCTTTCGATACAAGGAAAATGCATTAGTTATAAAAAGCTTACAACTTAAAATTTATTCAATTACCGAGCTAATGACCGAGTCTTACCTCTTCTTAACATTTTGTGCCATGCCAACAATATGATGGCCTTTCTTATTTAGGAGAAAATGCTGTAGACCATGTTTTATCACATTTAAATCTGCTAGCAAGGACACGATATCGATTTTATGATTTGTCTTGAATCCTCTTCATGATTCTTTTGATCTGGAGTAGTTACACTGCCTTTTTAAAGGAAGAAATCACTACAGCGTTCTTCATAATAATAATAATAATAAGTTTATTGAGCACTTAATGCACACATCACAATGACAGTCATCGTATCTACTAATCATACACATACATTTTAACCATAAAGTGTTCCCACATGAGGGGATGGTGTTAAAATTGATCCTAGTGACCAAATGAGATTAAATCATATTTCCAATGTATTAGTTTCCAGAATATAATATGACATATATATATTATATATATATATATATATATATATATACCTTTTTGTCAGCACATACCCTGTACATGTAAGTGAATAACCATAAAACCCTATTAGCTTCCAGTGGGTTCACAGTGGGACACCGCTGATTTCTGAGGTTATTTTGGAAGTATTTCCGATGTGAAAACACGCAGTATCTCTGTTCCACAAAGCCATACACATGGGGAAATAGCGGTGAGGATGGGAGAGAATGGAGTGGGATACTGTGTTTAACTTGCTTCTTTTTTCACCAGGTCTTTTCTGTCCTCCACTCCACATTTATCAAATAATAATAATAATAATAATAATAATAATAATAATAATAATAATAATAATAATAATAATAATATGATATTATAACAGACCACGAAACAAAGAATGGCACTTCCCAGCACTAATATAAAATTTTGCCAGGCACAATATAGTTACCCAAGTAGAGGGTAATTTTCAGTTCAGGTCTCTAACTCGCAGGGTTGTTTAAATTGACATTATAGAGCTTTCTATATGTCGACTTAATAGAGACTGGTCCCATTACAGTGCATAATAAGCACAGCGTCCAAGGTCTAGAGCATGAGAGTTAAGCCCTAAGCAGGATTATTTGATATGATCATCAGTCTGAAATCATTAACTGTAAACATGGTACTTGTTCTACATATAATAACTAACAGTACGATATTGTGCAGCGGCAACCAAAGGGAAAGGAGGATGTCGTAACTTGATAGATTGTGCAGTGCTTAGCAATATTACTCAAGCTGATATCGATGCCTTAACTTGTACGTTTGTTTGGTCGATCTTCGATGTTACGCTCTATGTCACTTTGCCCCACATACTGAAGATTTGATGAATATTTGCTAAACACCCTAAATAGAACTGGAGACTTTTGTATTTGTGCAAGGATGTTAAGTAGGCCCCCTATGATAGTGGGTTATCTATTGCACTGTCCATCAATCCCACTCCCACCCTGCTTTGAGGTACGCACCTGCATCATGCACGCGTGTTTGGGAACGGACGCTTACAATATGCACGATACAGATGCGTATTTCCATCCTCTTGCATAAGGAGGCACTTCCTCGAACTATTTCTCACAGATTGGCTTTTAAGTGTCACCCCACACACGTGTGCTAAGACATAGCCTTTGACAACGTAAGGGTGTTGTGAAAGAATGACAAGAGCGGTGTAGTGGAATTATTAATTGGCGAGTTTTTCAAATGGAGTACACCCTACTTTGGCACCGTGGCCTTATAAAGCAAAAAGTTCGTTATGTTAGTCGTTTCAAGGTGTGCTGAAGTTATTTTCATTCTGCCGGTGGTATGAATCACCGTATTTGCAATGCCAAGAAGCTATGTCACCCTTAACCTTCGACATAGATCGGACTGAGTAATTTGTCTGCGTCTTTCTAGAATAACTACAGGTATACACTTAGGCTTTTAAAAGGTTACTTATTAAGTACAGCGGGTGATCTCCAAAAGGGACTCGTCGCACAAGTGGTTGTTGAGATTTTAGAAAAAGACCCACACAGAATACACCGAGTGCTCTTTCCCAATATAATTGTGATCAATTCAATCATGTTAACCGGACCATATTTCAAATGGGCTCTGCGTTTGAAAGGAAGATATATTTTCACACTGGTTCGAAAGAAGACCGGTTTTCTCGTATTATGTAGAGTTCAGCGTGGGTGAAAAAAATAGTACTATATAATACTGTGCAATATTGCACGGGGTTTAAAGTGTTGTTTTAACAGACCACTCCTTGAAATTTGAAATCCTGTTTTGCTTTTTTATCGCACTGAAGTGAAATATACCACAGTTTAACCCCTAAGTGAAAGAGATTTTAAGAAAACAAGTCACAGTTGACAATAGTTAACTCGTTAAACTTAACGCTGCAACTGGATGCCGCGGGGTGAAATGGTTCAGTATTTTTTCCTGCAATATTTTTCAAGATAAATCTTTTTCGTAAGTTGATTACAACCAATGTCCTCCATACGGGCAAACCCTCACAATGCATGGCATTTCTAATGTCACCCTCAACCGACCCTGATCAAGTTGACAGGTCCCTGTCTTGAACCTGGAGTATGCGCTGGCGCGAAACGTAGTACTCGTACAGTAATTGTCTATGGGGACATTGAAATGGACTATTTAAGACATTCTTGTTTTTTGGCAGCTCATCACGCGATCTCTAAATCGGCCCATCAATGAAATAAACTTACATATTTCATACCTGAACTGACTTGCCCTTTACATGCTACCAGTCTCATTTTAATCTCTGTATTTTAGTTTGACATCGCTATTTGTCCGTTTGTTTGTTTGATTGTTTCTCA